GTTCACCTATTTTTTTCAGTGAAATAAACGCAAAGTGTTTATTCTCCAAAGGCTGTAAACAGAGATCTCGGGTCTAGTTTCTATGACAACCTCATTTGATACAGCAAACCTAGATTCTCTCTAATGACAGACATGAAGTTTAAATTGCACATTCTGCATAAACAGTGAACTGTTGACCTTTTATTGAAAAATGGAATACAGTGTGATTAGCATGATGTGCTATACAAAAGGGAAAACTGTGGAATAATGCCAATTATACTCTAATCATAACTACAGCGCTCATCTCAAGCAAAACGTCTGCCAGAACAAGCAGCTTTAAAAACCAGGATATACCAAGATACCATTTTCCAATGCTGCTAGATAGCAATGCTTTCATGCTAAATTGTTCTCAGATAACACTTGCTGCTCCTGCTATTTGTCTCCAGTTGCATTTTTTTTTTTAAACATGGAAGAGAAGATGAGGTTATGTAGGAATATGGACAAAAATTCCAGCTATGAGAACTATTTTTAAACTTCCTGAAGGCATCTTTTCCTCATGCTCACAAATTCATTTGGAAGAGAAAGACAAAAGACATCGCTCTTTTTGTCAAATGAAACCTGTATGTTTTCCTTGGAGGAGTATTCGCACACATGCCAGTGAATAAAGCCCAGCTCGTCAATTGAGACAGGGGAGGCTGCAGGAGATGTTCTGCTTTGTAAGAACAGAGGTGGAAAATCTCTTGCCTTCATACACTGCAAGTTTCAGTAGGATTTGCTTTTGTCAGTTCAAAGAAGTGCCTGCAGGAGTTTACAACATGAATGCTTTGGGGAGCTGGGGGTGTGAGCTGAGGTTCCCCTTGGAGCTCAAAGAGCCACATGCTGCTGCAAGGGGATGGCAGGCTGCTAAGTTTCTCTTTACTTGGCAGCATATTTTAACTTTAACTCCTTTAAGCATTCACGAAACAATAGGAAATGCTTCCAATTGCTGAGTGGGATTTCAGTTCACTTGTAATTAAAATAATCAGTGAACACTCTGAAGACAACCACTCAACCAAAACTATGAGTAATATCAAAAATAGAGATTTAGATGGCAGAACTGATGGCCTAAGGAACCAGGAACAAAGCAGAGAGAGTTTCACTTCTACAGTGCCCCAGAATAGCACCCAGTTGATTGATATCTTCCCTCTTAGAATTGAAAGAAAAGTCAAAGAAGAGCCACTGGTGTGACAGTAGTAACAGGTAGGATCATACGGTTGTTTGAGCTAAAAGAGACCTTTAAAGGTCATCTAGTCCAACACCCCAAATACAGGACATGGGATACTTTCACAGTGAGCTACTATCCCCCACCATTTCTGTTTCCTGCATATTGAGAGGCCTCTGCTTTTCAGAGTATTCTATTTGGCAGTATTACATTTTTCCTCAGTAAGCATCGTCTTCCATTGCAGCAGCTGACAGGAAGGAATCCATTAATTCAAAAGGCATCTGCTTGTATTCATGTGAAGGTACAATGCTGTGATTTGGTACATGATAGGGTGGCACACCCCAAACTTAGGTATTTTTAATCCCTGCAAAATTGCCCCAACTTGTCCATTGCAGGAGAGCTTTTAAACTGTGCTGTTTTGTATGAATGGCAGTGAGCATTTGTAATGCCACTCAGAGTTGGATTATCAGACAGAAATTGCATCAACCACATTTGCACAACTGTTCAGATGCTACCACAGATTTTGTAAATCTTTACCCCTCAAAAAAAAAAAAAAAAAAAACCAAGGTAAATATTGACAATAAGAACAGCAACAGAAGCCAACATGTCTGATCAGTAACTTCACAAGCACTCCTACCTACTGGTAGGTCTAAACATGGATAAATGAGTGCTTTGAAAGACACTGTAAATTATAAGCCTATTCAAACAGACTTTCACCTCTAGCTTCTGTGTCAGATTAATACATTCCCTGGACACTTGCCTCTCCAGGTCAGAGGAAAGTAATTTCTTCCTCAAGCTTCTCCCACATTTCTTCAGTTCCCATCACAATATTTTTAGTTAAGATGTTGATAAATGTTGGTACCCCCAGTTAATTCTTGTCCTCTGTTTCACATTTCCTTCAGGCACAGTTTGCATAGCTCTAGTCACTTGTACAAATATTTAAAACCAGCAAGACAAACCAAGCATAACAAATCCAGAAATAAAGCTACTCCCACAGAAGCTGATGTTTACCCAAGCTAGGGTATGAAGTATTCCACACCTCTCTCCTGGCAGCCTATTCTCTCTCTCTCTCAGAGAAGATCTGATGACGCCCTGGATAACAAGGATTAAAGAGCTGAAGCCGCTGACACTTCAGTACTTCCACCTTCAGTAGTGGACCTTCCTGGCCTGCTCTAAGGGACCTGGAAGAGATGCAGCTCTTGGAAGAGGAAGACAGATACAGACTTTGAGGTAACAGTGCTGCTATCAGTCCCATACACTCATACAGAAATCAGCTGTCTGGTTACCATCAGTCTCGCTCAGGAATGTGAGGGAGAGGGGCATGAACCACCAGCTTTTTGCATCACCCCATCTGTAACAGAACTGGAGTTTGGCTACCCTATGATAATGAATGAAGATTTCAATCAGGCAAGAAAAATTAACCAAGAGATCACTTTAAGTAAATTGTTCGTAAAGTAACACTTATCAGCTAGCTTGAATTTTAAGCATTCTAACTGACACAATCACCTTCCTAAAGTAAACACCTGCTACAAAAAGTCAGGCAGCTGAAACACCATTAGTTTTTAGGCGAACTTTTAGCCCCACAGCTCAGGCAAGCATCCATCTATTTTGTCTCTGCAATGTAACCAGCTCTGTCAGATGCCAGACAGCTAAGAGAGCACTCCAGACTAGAAACAAAGATACTATTCACTGGAGACTGCCACAGTCATTGTTCCTACCTATGCACATCCCACCACTTCAGCGAGGCTGACAAAACAGTTGGAGATAGCTTTCTATTCCCAGCTGCTTAACAGTGCTGTCAATCAGTGATGCAACTGGCAACAGGCAAGCAGCAGAAATCAAACAACGTGTGCCACTGCAAAGAGCAGAACAGAGTCTCAAATATGTGCAAAACTCCAGTCTACATATAACCATGCTGGGTAGAGATGGTACCTGGATGTCCTCGGGGAGTCCGAAGTAGAACTGGAGAGCTGCAGGCATTTATGTACACCACTACTCCACACAACTGAATTTGCTGTACCCTTCACCTGTATTCAACATTCATTTGTGCTTCAGTCCAAGACCAAAGTAGATACTTTTTTTTTTTTTCCTAAGTAATAAAATTAGGTTAGTCCTTATGACTGCAATATTTAAACATTATTTCAAGCTTTTTCTTTAAAAGACATTCATGAAAGAGACTTCTGCACAAGAACTCCTGCTTCTATTATTTGTCATTCTCTGCTTAGCAGCTAAGGACTGCTTGAAATGCATCATTACGTTCTCTGGAGCGTACTGGAAGTGTAGGAAGAGCATATTGGATCAAGACAAGTTGGGAAACTATTCCCATTTATTGAGAGATTCCTGACCCAGGAATATAGAAGCATGAGGGTAAGGTCTCAAAAAAATTCCTTCAGAGTCAACTGCAGTAAACCTGTTCTCGTCTCCTAGCAGTGCGATGAGAATATTGTAAATCAGTGAATGTGAGCAAAGTGAGCAATGCCCAATGAGTGATGGTTTCCTGCTAGAGTGGCTTCCAGCTTTCCTAGATTCCTGCTATACTGAAAGGCTGTAGCAGAACTTGAGAATTGTATTATTAAATCAGTGCCTGTGAAAAATCAAGATGAGATTCAAGCTGCCAGACACGATAGGAATGTTAGGCAAAGGTGTCTGTAAACTTCTACTGACCCCGAACACCAAACAGGTCAAGAGCTCTTTCATTAATACTAGTACTTTTTGTATTAGAGCTTCACATGAAGAAATTCTGCTGACTGCTAAGGTCAAAGAGTTCATAAGATGCGTTGGCCACATCAGCAATACATTGATGATTGTTTCTGCTGTGACCCCATAGTTGATGAAAGGCCATTTGTAAGGGAATTGCTTTTCACACAGAAAGAAGTCTGATGAAGGTATAAAACACACCTCAAGTAGGCAGACTGCTTCTTTCATGATGCAGTAATGAAAGAAGGCCACCATCCTACTGAGACGCTGTGTTTCTGTACATCCCCAGGTTTCTTCTTCCTATCCTTGTCACTAAGTTTTCCCCTACACAAGACACTTTTTCCAGTCCTAGTTGCTAAATGACTACCGCTCTCCTATTCATGAACTCTGCATGTATTCCACTTGTAGATTAGACATTCTGAAGTCCAAATCAACATTATAACCATCTCGCAACTACTGTATCTTCTAGATACCTTGTTTTTGGGGTCCCTGGCAACAAGGCTTCATAAGGGATAAAAGATTCAGATGCACAGCAGACGGGTCACAGTCACACGTAGTGTGAAGAACAGGAGCATAACAAAAAATTATAGAAGTAAGGTCTGGGGCAGACCTCAGAAGAACATCACCCCAAGGAAGTCCATGCAATTCAGCTACATTGCTGGTGACAGGTACCCCCCAACCTATTCCAGAACTACTCTATGAAACCCCTCCAAGAAGATAGGTCTGAGAAACCACTCTTCCAATCATTGTAATGAAAGATTGCAGTATCTCTATTAATGTGCCTTCCCAGGATAATCCTTCACTTCATGCAAATTATGGTCTTCTGCAACAACCTGAAGGCTCTCTTCCCTAGCAGATAGCACTCTGTTTATAAAAGACCTTCACACTTTTGCATGTTTAACTTGTTAGAGAATAATGGTTTCATTACCGAGTAGGAGTGGCTTCACATATTATGGGGGACTGCAGAATTATAGGGTTTTTAATCTTTTGCCCCAAGTTTAATTATCACAATAGTGCATGACTATGTAGTTACTACAAAATTTGAGAAGGCAGGCATGCAAATCTACAGAATCAGAGATCATAAGCAAGGAACAGTCATGCTGAGAACATTTCTCTTCATCGCTTTAAAAAGAACTTGCTGTGAGAAAAAGAATTTCACGTAGTGAAAAAATGTCAAGATGTCAGGTATTTTTTCACCCCTCAGCGTGAAGTAAGGCAGCACCTTCCTCAACAAGTGCCCTCTGTAGTTGCTATTCCTTGCAGAAATGCATGATACCAAACAGGGAAGAACAGTAAGACAGGTTCAGGCTTTCCGCCCTGCAGTGATAACAAAAGTATGGGCTCTTCTGATGGAGAAGTTTGTCCCTCCAGTCCGGGAGGAACATGCAGCAAAAGTTTGTTTTTTTGTTTGTTTTTTTTTTTTGTTGTTTTGTTTGTTTGTTTTTTTTTGTTTTGTTTTTTTAATGCACATTTCCACAGAAGGTTTTAGCTTTGATGGCTGTTTTTTCCCCAGCACTAACACATCCAGTTAAGACGCCCAGCCTTGTCTTTTGCTTCCCACTCAGGCCAGGGAATGAGGCAACAGTTCACAGCCTTACTAATGCTATTGTTAATGTTGCAATGGAGAACAGAACCCTGAAAGGCAACAGAGAAATAAACTTAAGGAACTTAAGGTCAACCTCCAAGCACAGCTTTTTTCCTATGGTGCCCCCACAGAGCAAGTAGCAACGTTTTCTCTGCAAGTGTCAGACCACAGCCACTACTTCAGATGGCATAAATCAGAAAGGCACGTACCATACCTCTTGAGACATCGCAGTTACAGCTGGCAAAGTGCAAAAGCTCTTATTGAGCTGGGCTGCTGATGTAATCTGAGGTTGGCACAAAAAAAGAAATGGGAAAAAAAGGAAAAATAAAAGATTCCACGTGCCCAAAAGCTTATCTGTCTCATTCAGCTCTATGAGTTGGTCTAATAAGAGATATCTCTTTTTACAACTCTCACCACAGAAATAGGAGTCATTTATCAAGGACTTTTCCCTGAACCATGCTGACCTTTTCTGCTGATGCTTCTCCTTCACTGCGATTTTTGCATGTTTAGGTCACAGTCACACAGTCTAACCCCAAATGTGCTATGAGCACATGAAAAAGGTGAGCACCTGAAAAGAGGTAAGAGGTTTCAGAGAGCTATTAGAATTTGTCAGCTAGATGTTACTACTGTACCACTGTACTTACCTCCAGCATGTATTTATATACAAAACTGACTAAAAAGCTAAGTGGAGTTCTATTGATTTCAGTGTTACCAATATGTACACGTGAAGCATATCCATTAAACTAAATTCATTAAATTATATCTATTTTTAAAGGGTGCTAAAAGCACCATTGGATGTGGTAATTATTGGTATTGGTTTCCTATAGAAACAGCACTAAGGCTACCAGCTAATTTGACATGGAAAACAGCTGTCACATGGTAATGACATTAGAAGTCACTGCCTGTGCTGATCTGTATTCAAAGCCATGCCACAGAGGTGAAAGGCCCTATAGCCAATTATTACTCCTTCGAGCCAGACGGTCCCCAAACACATGCAACATATGCAGATCCAGGCCTCCTTGTCTTTAATTAGATCTTGCCTACCCTCTGTAGCAACAGCAATAAATGTGAGAAGGGCACATGTTGGGATGCTGGAAAATGATCACAAATATTCTGACATTTTTTGTCTGGCATGTTTCTGTTGCATCTGCTTGTAGTGCATGGGAAGGAAAACATAGGAGACAGTCACTACCTGCAAGAGGTATGACTTCTGTGGAGCTATAAACAAACGGGATTCTGCACAGCATCTACCATCTCTCTGCTGCTGCACTGACCATGTCACTGACAAACTAACAATGGCAATTATGAGTACACAAGGAATACATGTTTACACCCACAGTTTATTAGGAAATAATTTTAAAATCACCACTGAAACAATTTAGTACTATGTGAGTGAATCTAATGAACCCTACCCAACTTTCAGTGATTATGAAGTTATACAAAAGCTAATAAAGAGGCCCAAAGAAAGGTATTTTAATAGCAAAACCTCATCTGGCTGCTGCAGATCATAATACACAAGACTCCCATGCTCACTCATATCTATGCTTGCTCTCTGAAAGGTCTCACCAAAGCCTTCCTGTCCAGCTGGTACAAACTCCAGCTCTACTTCTGCTTCTATGGAGAAGCCTAGGTAACAAAGGTACCAGGCATTTTTCCCACATCTTCCAGAAGCTTAAGCCAGCCACTTTGCAGTGGGTGGCACATTTCTTGCAAGTGGCACTAAAGAGGTCTTCCTTTGCTTTATCACAAAAAAGTGATCTGATGCATGAGCATACATGAGTGATATGACCCATGACCTTCAAGCAGCCACAGTCACAGGCCTTTCCCTCACTATGCAGGATATCTCCTCCTACAGTGCTTTTTCAGTGAGCCTCTCCTTGTTTCTCTCAGCCCTTCACCCTCTTGTAGCCAGTTTCATCCTATCAAACCTTGGAAAGGAGATCTTTCCATGGTTTTGACCCTCAGTCAGATCAGCTGCTGCCCACTCACCAGCCTACTTAGCAGAACCCAGTTTCCAACATGGAATTGGTACAACATGCTGAAGAGTGCAGCCAGGCAGTGGTCCACTACCCCAGCAAAGCAGCACCAAGCATCTACTTCCCAGCCCCAGGAAGCTCTAGGGAGAGAGAGAGGAATTAGAGCACATATCAAACCAGTACACTGAGTTATGCATAGTGACAATGAGTAAACCTATTTTCTTCTCTGTAATGTACCAAGTTCAACAACTGACTCAGTAACAAATCAAAAGATGTTTCTGAAATGTAAGGTTTGAAAATTAAGAGAATGCCAAAAAAAAGGAAAGGAATCGTATCATAAATAATCTCAGGTGCTACCAAAAGCTACAATTATATTTTTTCAACTGCAGCTCAGAATCGATGAATGGCTTTTTCCGTTTCTGCCAGTCTGCATGAAGCTTCTTTAAGTGAACAAAAAAAGTCTAAGAAATTGGTTAAATCTCTGGCATTACTAATCAGACAAGAAGCATAAAATGGAAAGTTCATTAGCAAGATCATAAAAGAGTCATACTGACAAAGATCATTCGATTTACTAATAGGAAGGTCGATGGTAAGGATCAGGAAATTGCTCGAAGGAAAACAAGATAGACCAAATGTTATTCAGTCCAAAAGAAACCTATACTGGGGTGGTATGCAATGTTCTGATTTTCATTTGGAATATAAGCAAGGAAATGTTCCCTTTGGCAGCAGATGAACTATACTTTCTTTAATCAGCATAGGCCCAGCCTCAGATGGGCTGGACAACATCAGTTTCTCCCCAGGGCTGGTTCACCTACTCCCCAACCACAGAAAATGTTTCAGCTCTCCCTTCCCATCACAAGATGGTCTCAGAAGCAAAATCTGCTAATTGTGTCAAATTACATGTGAAGGGTTCACAATATGGATCGTTGCCCACTTGGGATTAGAAGATCACTGAAGTAATTTCAGCTCAGACTTCAGGATAATTCAGAATCCCCATTCCCAGGGGTTACTACGTGTTCTGTCCCCTTGGCACAACTGCAGCCACTCTGTATGGTATGCAGGAGTTCCCTTCAGAGGTAGGACAGAGAGGAGAGGTGGTGGTGGGATTTTCATCAGAATAATTTGGAAAGGGGGGGAGGGAGGGGAGAAAGCTGCTTTTTCCTTATTTAGCCAGCTTTCCTACAGAAATAGAGAGTGATAAGATTCTACATGCATCCTTCTCACACTAGCTTATTACAATCACATCTGTGACAGAGAGAGCAGCAGCAGCAAAGGGTTTCCATACACATCTCACAAATCAGGAAGCAAGAAAGGAGGTGAGAAGTGATTTCTGCCCCTCCAGGAGATGACACAATCCGAGTTCAGTCATTAATTGACAACACAGAACTCTGACAGAAAGGCTACAAAAGAACTTTGCATCCATACCTTTGGGAGCCCTCAGTAGCCCCCACAAAAGATACAGTACCATGGAAGGAATATCAGGAATCATACAGGAAGCAGAAGAACCCAGCCAAAAAAGTGTGTTTTCTAGTTCTCAGCAATGAGGCTGGCAAGAGGACATCTCATCCGTGCCCACACCCAACTCCTGCTGCAGTGAAGCAGAGGTAAAGGAGCAAGCATAGTGCCAGATACTGCTGTCCTTACAGGTCTGAGCTGTGCCAAGTTCCTCTTTTTCCCACCCTCAAAAAAAAACCCAGCATCCTCCCCACCTTACAGGCAACTGTCACACGATACACATCAGGAAGAATATATTAAATAAAAGTGAATGGCTCCATGCAGCATGAATCTGTACAAGATTCATTTTGGAGATTGGCCCTTTATGTTTATCCACGTAGAATCTAAATTGCGCTAGGGAATGGCATCCTGACCACAAAAGAGCCAGACAGTTTTACAGCGAGGACATAACACAATAACCATTTAGCCAGATTAAAGCATACTGAGAGCTGCATCAAATATTGTTTAGAGCACATAAGAACTGCTTTAATATTTAAATGTATCCCATGGCTGGGCTCTTTAGATTTGCTAGATTCACTAGGGCTGCACAGCTATTAGCTTCTACATTTCATCTTCAATTCCTCTTCACAGTAGGAGAAACATAAAAATGAGGGTCACTGCTTGGTCATTTCATTACCCCTGGCAGAGAAATGTGCTTTGCACAAATGAGGAAATATTTTAAATGTAGATTGTTGTAATGTTGGTGCGACAAAATAAAACCAGAGTTAAAAAATAATAACGGTCTTATAATGGTTATTTCGTAGAATAACATTAAAATAATATGCAGTGTAGCAGCAGTCCCCTTATCAGAGGGCCTGATGTATTTTATAGTTGTCATTTAAAAGGTCCATTAGCAAGAGTCCTGGAAACGTATGACTCAAGGTCACAACCAAACCAAATGAGACTGAACAGTAATTCAAAAGCATTAAACTGTTTATAGCTAGAAGTAAAATAAGTACTCAATACACAAGCACACACAAATCTTAGCAGCCAGTTCTTCTAAGAGCCTCCTTTTATTTCTCTGAAAACAGAAACTCAATGAAAGAAACTGATAATCTACTTAAACACAGAAATGACTAAAATGTCACCTGGGAAACATGTGACTTCTTACCACAAACACAGATCTGGAGCTGAACACAGCACGAGCCCAAGGCCAGAGGCACTGAGAGCTTAAGGAGGAGGTTTAGCACAGAAAGAATGAGAGCACAAGCATTACTCATTAAACATAATTTGTGATGCTATAAACATCATCTCAATAACCCTTAGCTCTATTCCAGGTACCTGAATGAAAGGGATTTGATTTTCAGTCACTGTCCTTTCTCCTCTCACCAGAGAAGTCAGCGCAAGGCACGTGCCTCTGCTTCACCAACAAAGATGAAATACGTACTACTGCAATGACAGCACCTGAGAAAATCACTTCTGGCACCGAGTGAAAAAAACTGAAATGAGAAACTTAGCATTATACACTGTGAGGCAATGCCTTCCCAGCTCCCTGCTGCTCCCACCCGAGTGCTGGCTTAGATCCTTGCACTGTCACAGCACCATCCCAGAGGAAAAGGACACACGTCCTACGGTGAGTGCGCCAGAACTTCTGTGCACAAAGATCGCAGCTTCAGTGCAACCAAAGTCACAAAAGCTTGGAAAAGGTTGTTTAAGTGATTTTAATGAGAAATATTTTGGTATGTTCATACAAATATACCAAAACTCTTAGGAAAGAGTAACAAGGTGCGAAGTCTTCCCCAGTGCAAGCGCTAGTTCTTAAAGATAAACACAAGAAGTCTTTTCCAGTCCTATTGCTCCTGCCTGAAAACCATTCTACCAAGCCTGGTTTAATATCTCTCACTTTCACAACTTTCATAAAAATTCCAGAAATAGAAGCAAGATTTTGTAACACATGCAATCAATTACAGAAACTGATTTTTGGGGAAAAAGGCATAAAGCATACTCACTGGCATCTGTAAATGGAATTCAGCTTGCAGGTAGCTCACACATCTTGCTGACAGCATGTTTATTGATACCATAGCGATCTTCTGTTTTGTTTCCTAGTTAAGTATGGATGGAAGAGAAAAAGACATTGCAACAATTGTGAAATGCTTTGCACCTGGCTGTGTTCAACAAAAGGTTGAATGCTGTAAGTGCCTAGAAAGCAGCGGCACACCTCTCTGGAAGCTCCAGGCATGGCAGGGGCTGAATGCACGTCCAACAAATTATTAAGTTACACATGAGGGAAAATATTCTGTTAGCACTTATGTTGCAATCCTGCAATAAGTAAATTGCAAAGCAACATAGCTTTGTCTAATGGCTATCAGTTGGCCAAAAAGAGATTAGAGATATATAACACAGGCAGAAATGAAATGCCACACGTCTTGATTTAGCTATGTTGAAAGCATTTCCTTTAATATAGCTTTGTAGTTTCCCACTGAAATCTTTCATCACCACAGCCCTCAGCTCCCATGCGTATGACAGTGTAGACATGACAGACATACCCCTCTCTGCCTGGTGGGTCTCTTAATTGGGGCTCACATGTTCCACACACACAGGATATGATTCAAAAGTGACATAACACACATTCATCCCAGTTTCCCAATAACCCCCTTTCACCACTCATGGAAATGCTTGGCCAATAAAACAAAAACATTATTGCAGTAAACTCATTTTCAAGTTAAATGTCTGGCCCTGTACCCTCCCACCAGATAGACTACCATGGCAAAAAAGGATTCCAGTTTTGTCTGATCAAAGGGGGATAAAAGCAGAGTTGAATGAGCTCACATACTAAGGGCCATTCAAAGCCACAGCAGCAGCATCACCTCTTCCATTCTTTAGCCTCGATTTAGCTCCAAGCAGAGCATGCACAGAAGACTGCACTTTCCTCCCTGCAGTTCCATGTTGGAGAGCAAGAAAATAATTGTAACTGCATACAAGGCACAGGCTGCTCCACTCCAGTGCTCGAGTTTACATTTAGGGTATTTGTTTACCCACCAGACCCATCCCTTTCATTTTCTTAGATTTCACAGTGCCTGGAACACAAGGCACAGACCACAGCTGCCTTTGCCAGGCACACAAGTTGCATGGATTTTCAGATATTTCTAATACCTCCTGATCTATAAGATCAGGTCTCCACGTTCTTGAATAACATCTCTCAACACATACACTTGATAGATAGCTGAGAAGAAGCAAGCCTTGTCTGTCAAACGAGCTTCAAAAAGGACAGGGTGAAAGCAAAAACGCAGCTAGAAACCAAACACTTTGCTAAACCTTGATAATACACTGTTTACCAATAGCAAACCAGATTAGGAAAAAATATTTATGCAAATATTCTTAATTTAATAACTATGATCAGATATGGCTTTGTTTCTTCCTTGTAATTTGTGTAACACAAATAAAGTACTAGGACTCTTTTCCACTATGGGAAATGAGAATTATTAAACATTGCACTGAAAAGCAAAGGAATGTGTTTATTGACATGAAAAACAATCCTGTGGATACAAAAGCTTTTGTATGTTAATTGCATAATGTCAGTGCAATTTAGAAAGTGGTTGCAGAAGGAAAGAATTCCTCTCCAAAACAGAAGTGGCTTTTCCTCATCTACCAGCTCAATTCAAGACTGCATCTTGAAAGTATTTATGACTGTGTTCTCATCAGTGACACTGGGTCAGAACCCAATAACATCCTTACTTCATAGTGATGTGGTTACTTGCTAGGAGGCATAAAGGAAGTGAAGGATTTCCTCCAGTTTTATTACTGAATGCTCAAAATGCTTCCTGGGGTAAACAACACCAGAGCCATCTGTATTTTTTTTTTCCCCCCTACTTTGGAAACAAAAGGAGAACAGAGGTAGCAACTAGTGAATGGAAAAATACAGGTCTAGAGCCATGTAATGAAAAAACATCTTCCTCTGAAAGAGGGAGGGGAACAACCACACACATCTTTCACTGATATATGAACTCAGCAGTGTTGGAAGCCTTTCAACACTATGCCTCTGATCTGTCCCACTGCACACAGAAGAGAAATATAGAATGTGATTCAGCTGCCTGCTCATTAGAGAGGCTTCAGCAAATCAGATTTCAGACTGGCAAATGGAGAACCTTCTTAAATCTTTAAGCACAGCCTGTTGATTCAGTTCTCCAGAAAAAAAAAATAAACTTTCCAGCTCTCACAGATGAACAAATTGAATAAAACTTACAATGCAAGCAGAAGCATATTTACCAAATGAAGTGGACACATTTATCCCAAACCTCTTCTGTAAGGAGAGCAAACCCCTCTAGGCTCAGAGCAGATATCATCAGCATGAGTTGCATTAAGTTGCAACTCACATAAGTTGCACAATGTACCACAGGGTACTTCCTCACCAAGCACCACTTGAAGAGCCACTGCTTGTAAAATCTCAAGACCCTTTAACTAATACATGCAATCCCTTGTCATGGTGTGGCTGCCAGTTCTCCTCCAGCATCCAGCTATGAGGCACATCTAGTCATGCTCACGAGGATCCCTCCCTTCCTAAAGTCTCCCCTTAGGAGATGCTCCACAGCTCCACCACGAGCATGACCATCTTCACCTGCTCTTCCCTAGAAAAGCAAAACACAGCACTGGCAAGTGGGAGAGACTGATATAATGAAGCAGAACAGGAAAAGGAATCAGAAGAGCAAAAATGAAACTTAATGGCTGAGCAGAACAGTTTGCTGCACTGAAAAAAATGCAGGAAATCTTACAGTTAAATGACTCATCTGTAAGTCAGGTCCTTTAATAAAAGCCTTATTACTGCTGTACAGCAAAGGACGAGGAATGGAGGTGATGCCTTGAGGTACTATGCAGAAAAATAGTGCCCTTTGTAGCACCTCAGCATGTGCTGAGAGGCCATTTCTCTGCAGCACTGGTGGGACTGTTAGAAAGAGGCCATGCACATCTGAGGGAACTGCATGGTCTCAGAAGAGGCTGAAAGATCAGAGACTGGGAAGGAAACTGCCACTGAAGTGGTTTAAAAGCTGGTAAGGAGGAACTGCTTCCAGTGAGAAATTGGATGGGCAGGATTTGTTAATCTTATCAAAGGGAAGACCAAGGGTGACTTGATTACAGGGTATTAAGTACCTCTATGGAGAGAAAATACCAGTCATAAAGGGCTCTTTAATCTAGCAGAGAAAGGCTTAACAAGAACCTGTGGCTGAGAGCTAAAGCCAGACAACTTCAAACAGAAAACATGGCTCAGATTTTCAGTCAAGCAAACCAGCAGAGAATGCAGCAGATCCCCCAAACCATCTTGAAAAATGTTACACAGCTGCCTCCATTCTTAGCAAGGGCCAACACTGCTGACACCGTCCTCTCCACACACAGCAGTGTGTGTAATATATGCTTTGAAAGGGGAAAGGACTCAGCACCCCTTATTTGCCTTGTAAATCAGCTTCTGGCTTCAGCTGTGCTCCTGTTGGCCATCCCAGAGAGGTGTATGGAGCAAGAAACACAGAACAGTAAAGACTCTAGGAATAGGAAAACTGGATTGCAACTATTTCACCAAAGAAGTCAAAGTCAGCAGTCAAAGAAAACACAAACTTACTGCAATTGATTTTCACTGCAGAGCAAAATTCAACCATTATTCGAAAAGGATTTACAAACAAGTTCTTGGCTACCATTTCATAAAACTTCTGGAATTTTAGTAATGTTTGGGATTCTTCCTCATGTTCAACTAATTATTTCTATTTCCTGTTTTCTTTGGAATCACTGTTCTGCATTGTTGGAATCTGAAATATTATTTCATGGGACATTATTGCATTTGTTCATACCACAGATTCAAGAGATGCTGGATTCCTTTTGCTCTACTGCTCCAACTTTAAAAAGCATTTCCTATCTCCGTGAAATATCAACACTCTTCCCCAAAGTGTGAAAGCTCCAAACCTGTATAAAAAGGCATAACCACTAAAACATTGTTGTCGTTTTAAGTAAAAAAAATTAAAAAATAAAAGAGTGGCTTTCATTTTCAAATACAAAATAATGTTGTTGACAGCATTAAAAAGTCCCATTTTGTCACAGAGCCAGTTTCTGTTCAAAAAGCAAGGATGAAAGATTAGTTTTCTCAGTGTAGCCGCCTGCCTGATTCGGTGCTTCACTAATTCAATGGAAAAAAATAATTATATGGCCAGCTCGTACATTCATCTCATTCACGTGAAAAGAAAGTCTTTGTACTGATGCAAGTAACCGGGAGATTGTGAGGGTTTTTTAGTCTAAATTTGCTACAGATCAAGTAACCAGTCTAAGATCAGACAAAGAAATTCCTCTTATATTGGAGATATATATACATACATATATATATATAAATATATGGGCTGAGGAAGCATTACCTTTTGGTTTAGTGCTTTCATACCCATGAAGGGATGAAGCCTCAGACAGAGGGGACATAAGCATACTTCAGCTCTTCTGTATGTTCTTTCATACAGCAGCTTGAATAGAGAGTTCCTTTAGGAAAACCCAGAATTCTACAAGTAAATGTCCATGGGAATTCCCCTTCTTAGGCACTTCCCTCTCTGGTCAGAGTCACACTGTAATCTGCAGATGAGTGCATTATTGTCTTTATCTTCTCTTATTCAGGAAGGTTCTCTGCTTTCTTGCTGTTGAGTCCTTTTCTCCCTGCACCACTCCTATTCTCGTCGTTAATGGTTGATAAATAGCTAATGAGTGGAATGGCCATTAGGACCTCCCTTCCCATCTGGGCTGCATGCTATTTTACAGGCCCTGCTAGATCTTTATTAGATTTGGGTGCAGATTATTGATTTAGGTAAATGAGGTCGTTGTAACCTCATCTCGCAGAGAAAGGAAGCAGGGAAAACCAAATGTAATTCAGCTGTTATTTTCTGTACCAGTGCAAGCCAGTGGAGGAAAAAAAAAAAAAAAGTCAAAATGAAACCAAAGAATGCCCATTAAAAATAATAATAACTGACCTTATACCAAAGGCAATGCTTCCATAGACACTTGAAAGCTGAGATAGGTGTAGAGTTTGAGCTTTCTGCAGATAAGTACTCCAGAATAGATAGTAGGCACTAGTAAAGAGATAACATTAATAGAACACCAGGCTATTCCTAGGGCAAACTGACAGCTATTTATAGAATTTGAGCACACTAAGACACGGCAGTGGCTTAACAAGGACAACTTTTCTTAAGTTATTGTTATTTCAGTTAAATGGCCACATCAGCACTAACAGACCTAATGCAGCCAAGCTCAGACTGCACTAAGCACTCTCTAACATCCTATCAGAGACAACGTAAGCACTGAAAACTTCCAGCAAGTCTGACTTTAGGGACCAGGCCTTCTAGAAGACTTCAGCACACTGAAATCTTAGCACTTAGAATTCCCTGGCTGTAAACAGGAGCTCACACAGGTTCAAAGTAAGACTACATTAACTCTCAGAAACCAGGAGAGGCTTTAGAAAATGAGTAACTACATTGACATTGTAACACAACAGAAAGCACAACAATGACAGCAGAGTAGCAAAACCCTAGGCTGCAGCAAGCGAGGACTTGCCCAAATGCAACAGCCATAGGTGTAGAAACAAAGGAAAGAAGCTGCTTACCTCCAGAAAACCTCAAGTACGCAGGGATCTCCAGCAAGATCCCCTCACCTCCACTGCCAACCCTTAAATGAGGGCTGGGAAGGGGTGGATCCTGGCTCCAGCCCTTGCAGTCACCCAGCTGCACTGCATGCACCTGAGCTCCCCTGAGTTGGCCCAGGTGCTCAATCACCGCTTCTAGCTGTGACTTAGCATTTCCACTACAGATACATACAACAGTTGTGTACATTTCTACCTGAAGCAGTCCACATGCAGGAAAGCATAAGCCAAGTTATACAGACCTGATAGAGCTGCTATGCTCCTCATGACTCACTGCTGGCTATATGCCTTCTGCTCTTCTTTTCCTAGGGCTATCTGGCTGGCCCTACCTTTCCCAGCTCCATGATTCAGTCCATTCTGTAAACTCAAAACAGGTGTGATCCCAATCTAAGCACCTGCTTCTGAGCTAGAGTTGCCAAGCCCAGCTCACCATAACTTCTGATCCAGCCTGCTGAGTCCTAAGAGAGCATCTTTCTTCCTTGTCTGTTCTGGGGAATGTAACCTGAAGTGGCAAATTCCACTAGCAGCAGAGCATTCAGTCAAATCCACAAAGGACTTGCATATTGTGTGCCTAATCCTTGGACATTTGGAGATTCCCAGCCTAAAACCAAGCAAATGAATATGAATTTCAAGACTTTCATTACTGTTGGTAATATCCACGAGTTGTCACATTGCACTAAGTTCCTTTCCCTTCACATGACACCCAACTGTTGTGGAACCCCAAAGTCACTGAGCAAGGCAGGGGGTTTGGGTTTCTTGAGCACACTGAACTCTAGATTTTGTTAAGCTTGTGACGGAGGCTGCACGAGTCATTCTGTCCTGTTGACCTGATGAGTTTGGATACCCTGAAAGTTAACAGGAAGGCAGCAAGGCCCTCTCCACAGTGCCACAGCAATCACCAACAGGAAGACTTGGCAGCCCAGTAGTGACAGACCCAGACCCAATACGATGTATTTAGTCCTTTATTTTACCTGATATGGCCAAGGCCAGGATCAGTGTTTGCTTACATCTTCTCCTCAGATGGCTGGCACTAAAAGCTCAGCTCATCAGTATTGGATAACAGTCACATAGATGCCTAGTTAAGAAGGTAGGAAAAGATTGTAAAGGAAAAGGTTTTACATATTTGACCTAGTAAAGTTCCTTCTTCAAGCTCCACTCCCTCATCCAAACTTAAGCCTAGTTCCTCTCATCGGACTTCACTGCTGCCACAGCCAGAATTTCCTTTTTGCCTCATTAACCATAGCAGCAGAGTGTTGCTTTCAGGCTTTGCTAACACTTCTTTCCTTCTCCCCATCCATAATGCTCCATCAGATATCATCATGCTCCAATGAGAAAATAATGAAGAAAAATGTGCATTCAACAAAGTTTGCTTAGTCCACTTGCTTTGCTAGTTTCTATTCTGCTCTTTGTTAATTCCTGAAACATCTCTGCTAGGCAGCACATACCTTGCAGCAGGAAGTGAAAACAACAGTAAACACTACCTGTATTTGTTGTGGAAATACACTGTTCTCCTTCCCTACCTTAAGATGATATATATAATGTAGTATAGTGAAAGGACAAAGGATGATAGCTTTAAAATAAAAGAAGGCAGATTCAAATTAGACATTAGGAGAAAATTCTCTACAGGGTGGACATGTACATGCACACAGAGTTAAGGGCTCCTCTGTCACTTACCAGCAGCTGTGGCAGCTACAGAAGGATTCAAAGTCTGATATGTGCTTTGGAAGAGATACACTATGTAGTTACCCACCAATGCAGACAGCTTACCCCCTTTCCATCACCTTTTCAGCCAGAGACATCTTTGAATCACTGCTGCCAAGAAAGCAGTGACATTTCAAAGTAGCCATACGCAGATTAACCAGAATTTATGTCGACTCCAAAGTAGTCAATACAAGCTGATCTTAAAGACTCAGATGCCCTAGACCCCATGCTGGCATTTATTCGGTAGCGAATGGAGAGAGATTAGTGTCTCATGTTCTCATTCCTCTCTATGAGGTACCTCACTGGCTCACTGCTTGGCCCAGGTTCAAAACCAGTGTCATATGCAACGCAGTTCTAAATTGTACTTGTGGCCACTGAGTCTGTGGATGCACCGCTGACTGTTGATCAAAATATCATTTTTTTCCTAAAGAGCTCTCCCAAGTCAGAGATTGCGTTCCATATCCCTGTCCACCGCCATTAGACACCTTATCCTCCAGTGCATAGGTAGTTTTCAATTTGTGGCCCAAGGACACCTGGGAATGCTAGGATGATTCTGCAAAGGGTAATTAAGTAAAGTGAGTCTATTGTTACTGGGCTTAAATTAGCTCTGAATATTCACATGCTCACAGAAAAACTATTTAAATAAGTTTTAAAAATAAAGGGGCTTCTGCAGATATTTACAGTGCAAAAGAATTCCTTTTCTAGGATGGACAGAAGTCAGTTAGAGAGACTTTTTGGCCCGAAGACCCTTTCCTGAAAACAGCATGACTTTCCTGGGGAGTGCTGGTACATATGCAACTGAGCATCTGATGTTCCCAGCTATCAGACCTGTCAAATCTTCAGCCTTTTACTACTGGATTTTGATCTTCACCAAAAACCAGACAGTAAAGTTTTGAGTCTTACTGTTAACTCGTACCTACACAGAGAGCATGCCAACAGGGACAGGGATGGTAAAGTTCGTCACAGCTGCAGATATACTTATCAGGGACAAAGGAATCCAGTTCTAACAAGCAGGCTGACATGGTGGAAGGGGGGAGGTCTCCAGGTGGCGTCACACAAGAGGCTGCAGAAGGCTGACACAATGTTCCTTCAGCTCATTTACTATTTCATTTCTTGCTTACCTCACCCAACATCATATATGTATTATACACACAGCTCCACCTCACCCACCCCTTCCCAATGGGTCTCAGGCTACAAAGGTTCATATTTAACATTTCAGAAACCCCAAGCCCCATTCACGTTCCCCTGTAACAAGCTGCAGAATATATTTCCAAGCTCACTTGTACCCTATGTATTTACCTAGTACATTCCTGCAGCAATCCCACTGTCATTATTACTAGCAGATCAAACCTTAAAATATCTGTAAAGTGCAGTTCTCTTGCATTTTTGATCCCCAGTAATGGATGTAAGGAGCCCACCTGGATCTGTGGCTGTTATAAAGCAGATGTTGATGACAAGCCTTCAGTTCAGATTTACTGCTTTATTTGTCTAAAGAGCACAGTCCTGGGAGCCCACATCTCTGCAACCCAAACTCCCACCTGAGGCAGGACCTGATCTCTGACAGGTGTTAGGACTTCTCCTCCCTGAGCTCCTGCTCTGATGAATGTTCCACTGCTTCACCAGAAAGCCCTTTCTATTTCCTTCAGCTGAATCCTGCAGAGCACACTCTATCACCTATTTTACATGAAGGACCCCTATGTTAGAGTTGCTTTAGGAATTCAAACCTCTTTATGTTTAGGAGCAGCAAACAATATTGTACAAATTAAAGTGTTAAATTGGGAAAAAAAACAGTACCTAAAACCATTAAATATTCCTATACAAGCTCAACCCAAAGGAAGGAAAATTAGATATCAGAAAGCCAGTGAATTGAATAGTAAACATGAGAAAAGTTCTTTCCTAAAAGCAGTGCTCACAAAATTGGAAACACATTAGCTTGGAAACTGTAATACAATATTGCTCATCAAATGCAACAACACACATTTGTCCTGAAGAGAAGACACACGTCTTGCTACATGCATCCAGTCCCTTCTAAACTCCTTTAAAGACTAGTCAAAAATAAATAAGGTAAATATCATTTGCATTTCTTATACAAATTAGAAGAGCTTGCCAGATGGGGAGCTCTCCTCCAGCAGAGCTGTTGTTTTCAAAGACAGAAAGGCACGAGCACAACCCAGCTGTTTGGGGCCTGCGATGTTCCCATTCCCAGAAAACCATCGCCCCTGGCTTTCCCTTGTAATTAGTTAGTGCTAATACCCTGGGTTAGTCTGTGGAAAAGTCACATTCTGAGAGATCACCCTTGTGAACAGCTGCACTCATGAGACAGAACGTCACCACTCCAAGCTGTCAGCCCATTCATCTCCAGCAAAAGTCAACCCGGCCATAAATTGGGAATCCTTTATCTCAGGACAGCAGACCGAGCTGGGTTTAATTGCTGAGCTATGCTAATGAGCCTTGTTTGTGACACAAGGTGCTTCGTGGTGGCTCTGTTTGAAAACATGGAATTGTAACTCCCCCTGAGGGCACGCACAATCAGTTTAAAAACACTGCCGTCTGGATACAGAAAAGAAATCATGTAACGGTCCCGTCAGCATGGCACGTTATCAAAGGCATCATTAACAGCTGCTTCATGGAATGGCAGGAGGCTCTCCTGGGTGAGCTCCGTTCATTTTGTTTCTATTCTGTCCTCTCTCCGGTTTTCCTGAATCATAAGCTCTATAAACATCACTGCCAAATCATCTAAAGGGAACAAAAAGATACCAGGGATTAAGCCATTCCTAGCAGATAAGGTCTGTGTCTGTTTTAAAAAGTGGGGGGGAAAAAAAGCCAAGCAAAACAAAATATAGCCAGGGAAAAGCAAACAGACAAAAGAGCAGCAGCAAAATTGTTTCTCTCCAACTTGTTGAGACAAAATCTACTGCAGCTCAAATTTCACTTTGTTCCTTTTGGATTAGGTGAAGTATTTGAACATTCACATTTAGGAAAGGAATAGCCCAGGTGGACACAGGGCTGCAGGATTTCTTGTTCAGATAATATCAGCTGTTTCTTTTGCACTATTAACAGTGGGGTTGGTGGTAGCTCTTTGAATCCTACAATCATTGGAAAGAGCAGTAAGGTTATGTAGTCCAACCATCAACCCATGACTTTGCTTGAAACAGAAAACCTGAGCCGTGTTTCAGTTGGGGAGGCCAGTATTTAGCATCATTAACAATCAAGAGTACTTAAATATGGCATTACTATTCTTATTGTGCTACCCAGGGACTTGTGACAGGCCTTGCAGACCCCATGTGTTATGCACTGTACAAATATCCATCTCCCCAGC